TAAGTATTTAAAACATTTTTTTTTTAAATGTAAAATAGATTTCAGTGGTCCTCTGGCATTCAGTGTTGCTGAAATCTGGACCTAATTCAGACTCATTGTGGAAAAATCCAGAAATTAAATAGTGTGAGCAATGTCTGAATATTGCAGTCTGAATGCCCCATACATAGGTAGATGGCTTTGCTAAGTTTCGTAGGGGGCTATTTGATTTTTAGTGAATAACCCTGTCAGAGTTCTCACAAAGGTTCCAACTGAAAGAGTATACATAAATATTAGCCAAAATATTATTATCAAAATAATATTCAAATAACTTGAATAATTTCTAAAACATTAAATTATATATGTGCCTCACAAAATAAAAAAATAACGTAGAAAACACCTGAATAATTCATGTAAAAAATTCAATATCAAAGTGGAGAATTAGATTCCTGTTCAGTACAACTACATCAATAACTACATATTGAATGAAATAGTGCATAAAACTTGTTAGAAAGTGTGCTAAAAACACTACTAATCCCTGTGACGATACGGCCCTGGCATCTCTACTATGGAAGATGTAGCAGTTAAGGCACGTTATCGTCTGTGTATTTCTTTTGCTAGCACACACAGCTAACCGCTATACTAAGCACTAAAAACCCAGAACTTTGAGCGGTGTATCCATCGGCAATGCAGGATATATCGCACTGATAGTCTATATCATAGTCAATTGTCTATGAGTAACTGCGCTATAGTGGATGACAAACAGCAATATACTTGGATCCTTCAAAAGACACGCAAGCTCCATCTTGGTAAATCCCGAACACACTTTATTCTGGTTCATAGACAGAATATATAGCCGTTCTCCAAATAACACAAACAACAGTGACCGATGTGTGACATGAGAGGCCCAGGGGAAATTTAAATCAATTATAACAGCTCAGACAATAGAGAGCCTAATTTAAAACAGGCAATTCGGTTACAGGTACACCAGACAACAGGTAATGTTATTAAAAATATCAAAGGCTAATTAACAGAAGACATCAGGTACAGGTAATTCAAGACAGAGAGGGGACCAATTAACCCAATTAAGAAACCCCACTCTGTCTCCCTAATTGTGTACAGAGGATGTGTCTGCACTACAGGGGGTAAAAAATCAACCATTGTCCCTGACTCATTTACTGTGACACAATGTAATCTTGCAGTCTGCTTTACTTTTACAATAATGTTTTTTACATAAAGCAATAGGGCATTGATGGCGAACATTTTGAGCCCGAGTAGCCAAACCGTAATACAAACCAACTTTTTTTCCTCAAAGTGCCAACACGGCAATTAAACACACAGACACTCACAGATACACACACACTGACACACACATACTCACAGATACACAGACACCCTTAGTGCTCTCCCTTCCCCTCCTGTCCTTAGTGCCCTCTCATCCCCTCCCGTCCCTTAGTACTTTCCCCTGTCACCCTGTGATCTTCCCTGCCCCACTGTCCCTTAGTGTTCTCCCCTACCCCTCTGTCCCTTAATGCTCTCTCCTCCCCTCCCTTAGAGCTGTCCCCTCCATCTTTAGGGCTCTACGCTGTCCCTTAAAGATCTGATGTTTTGGGGGCATGTCTACTGTCCTAACAAGCTACAGCCTCAGTATAAAAGGGATTTCATGAGTTTGTTTGTGACTATTCTGTTTTCTATACTCCTTGACCCGGCTCTGGCTTACTCGCTTTTCCTGATTTCTGTACTCCTTGACCTCGGCTTGACTTTGACTACCCTTGTGCTTATACGCTAGTCCGGCCATTCTAAGGTCCAGTATACGTTACCTTGTATCTACATTCTGCGTGTTGGATCTTTGTTATATCCTGACATTACAACGGGGCCATTATGGATCCTGCAGGTGTAGGTGCTCAAGGGGCTCCATAGGATACCCATTTTGAACAAATGGATCATTGTATGGACCAAATAGCGTTAGCCTTTCAAATCCTCATGAATAGACCAAACCCTGGTCCAGAGGAAGGTCGTAACCTTGCCCCGGCTCCGGTACCCTCAGGTTTAGCGGTTGCTACTGTTGGGGCCTCCTCACATGTTACATCACCATTACGTTATGGTGGTGCACCTGGTTAGCATCCATTTCGAATTACAACCTCGTTCTTACCCGACTGATAGAGCTAAGGTTGGTTTTATCATAACCCTATTAGTCGATAAAGCGTTAACCTGGGCCAATCCTCTCTGGGAAAATGAAAACCCATTGGTTTATAATTATGTTGCTTTTGTGGCTGCATTCAGATGCACTTTTGACCCTCCAGGTAGGAAGGCTAATGCTGCCAGAACCTTACTACGTCTGAAACAGAGTACTAGATCAATGGTCGATTATGCCTTAGAGTTCAGATCCTTAACCGCTGAAGTAGCTTGGAGCAACCAAGCATTTGTAGACGTGTTTCTCAATGGTTTGTCTGATGTAATATTGGATGAGATAGCTACCAGGGAACTCCCAGAGAACTTAGTAGATTTGATATGTTTTATATCTCGTATTGACGAATGTTTGCTGTTCAGACAAAATACCCGTGACTGTCCTAGGATAACGTCTGTCCGTTTAGCTCCTGCCTTTAATCCCCCTGATTCAATGGTTTTGGCTTTACCCGAACCTAGGTTATCCGAAGTAGAAAGACAGTACAGAAGGAGGGAGGGTTTATGCATGTACTGCGGACAAAGAGAACACCTCCGCCTGCGTTGCCCAAACAGGCCGGAAAACTCCCGCACCTAAGTTCCAGTGGAGGACCAGCCTTGGGTGTTTTCTCTTTGTCCTCCTTCAAAAAACAACAAGATCACAGGCTTCTAATCCCCATCACCTTAATTTGGGAAAAGAATAGAGTAACGACTATGGCGTCGATTGATTCAAGGGAAGCAGAAAGTTTTATTGATCTAGACTTTGCTGCTTCACAATCAATTCCTTCCCGGTTAAGGAATACACACATGGCCATTGAGGCCATAAATGGTAGACCACTGTCAGTGCCTGTGATTTCTCGAGAAACTATTCCCTTGCAGTTGATTACAGGCATATTACACCATGAGATAGGTGTATTTCAACTTATCTCCTCTCCATCTTTTCCTGTAGTATAAGGATTCCCCTGGTTGATAAAACACAACCCAATCATAGATTGGGGAAAGGGTGATATTGTGTCCTGGAGTACAAGTTGTCGGCAGGGTTGTGTTATGAAAGTACGTACTACTGGTCTTATAAACATACCTACTATGCCTGCTTTATCCACTGAAGTACCTAAACCCTATTAAGGCTTAAAAGCAGTATTTGATAAAGGCAGAGTTGTTACCTCCACACCGATCCTATGACTGTGCCATCAATCTTCTTACTGGTACTATGCCTCCTAAAGGTACAGTCTACCCTCTTTCTGCCAAGGAAAACACAGTTTTAGAGGAGTATATTACAGAAAACTTAAGGAAAGGTTTTATAAGAAGGTCTTCTTCTCCGGCAGGATCCGGGTTTTTCTTTGTGTCCAAAAAAGAGGGTGACCTTAGACCTTGTATTGATTATAGAGGATTGAACAAAATTACAATACGTAATTCTTACCCTATACCTCTAATCATTGAATTGTTTGATAGGTTCAAGGAAGCCAAGATCTTTACCAAGCTAGATCTTAGAGGAGCGTATAATCTTGTGAGAATACGAAAAGGAGATGAATGGAAAAGAGCATTCAACACCCGTTTTGGGCATTATGAATATACTGTTATGCCTTTCGGGTTGTGTAACACCCCGGCTGTTTTCCAAAACTTCATCACGTGTTAAGAGATTTTCTTCAAGACTGTGTCATAGTTTACCTGGATGATATACCGATATATTCTTTTTTTTTTTTTTTTTTGAAAGGGGGTACAGAAGAGAACAAAGAGGGGGTCATGGTTGTTGGTACAGGTTTCATTGAGCATACTTTTTCATTTTGTGTTTAAATTCTCAATTTACCTTGCTGTTCACAAACGGGGTTTACAGAAGAGAAAGGGAGGGAGCGGTAACAGGTACATTTTTATATTCTCAATGTTACATTTCTGTGCTTTTGGTTGTTGTTGTGTGAACCAGTGTCTTTTTGTACCAGCGTGCGTGGTTGCCAGTTGAGCCCTGGGTTGTTGCTAAGTGTTAAGCGTTTTGCCTCTTGTGGAGGGGAGGGGTCTTCTGGGTTCGGTTTGTGCTATTTGTTTCTCACACTGGTGTCGTGCTTGGCTTTGTGACCTGTTGTGGGTGTGTGGTGGAGGGCGGGCAACTACAAGGGGGGGTGTGCCCTTACATCACGTGTAGAAATCCGTCTGTTTGGTCTGGGACGAGGGGCGGGAGTCAGGTTTCCTGGGGGTAGATTTGGCCGTCTTGTCCTGTCTCTGGGCTAGTGTTTGTCTCGGATGTTGGGTATCCCCTCAGTCGGTGACGTCCCTCGGGATTGTTTTGGTCACTGGGTTAGGTTCGGGGGGCCTGGTGTTTGGGTGTCTCCTGTTTTCCCTTTCCCTTCCTCGCCTGGGCTCATTGCTTCCTGTGTTTTCGGTGGAGGGCTGAGGTTAGTGGGGGGTGCAGGTGTTCTCCCCTGTGCGGGGTGGCTGGAAGTTACTGCGGTGGGTGTGCCCTCCATTCGCTGTGATGGCCTTTGTCGGGTTAGTGTTCAAGTGGGGTTGATCGTCGGGTGGGGTGTTTAGCTCAGTACGTATACCGATATATTCTAAAGACAGGGAAACTCATCATAGACAAGTTAAAAAGGTCTTGTCTAGATTGTTACTTAATGGACTGTATTGTAAACTTGAAAAGTGCCTTTTCGATCAACACCAAGTCAGCTTTCTAGGGTATGTGATTTCCGAGAAAGGGTTTTCGATGAATCAAAAAAAATTGGATTCCATACTCCTAATGGGTTAAAGGCTACTCAGAGGTTCATAGGCTTTGCCAACTATTATAAACAGTTTATAAAAGGGTTTTTCGTCCATAGTCGCTCCCATAACTAACATGACTCGCTCCCAAAACTAACATGACTAAAAAAGGAATGAATCCAAAGAAATGGGAGGCTAATGCTTTAAACACTTTTAAAGTTCTTAAAACCTCTTTTGCGGGGGCGGGGCCAGACCGCCATGCTGACCGGTCCCATGCAGGACAGGCTCCTGTTAAGCCAAAATTTGCAGCCCTGGTACTCGACATGAGCCCACAAGATACTCACACGGTGGTGGAAGAGGCAGTGGACCCCGAGATCGGGAGCTTTGGGTCCCCTGAGGGAAGCACGAAGCTTCGGGAGCTCGGGCTTTTTGAGAGGCTTGCTGATCCCGGCCCCACCCGCGGAAAGCTCAAGATGAGTGGAGAATAGGCGGCACGAGACCCCCAAGGCCTACCTTACAAGATGGCGGCAACAGCAAGCTATGCACCATCACGCCATCCACCGCAACGACAGACCGCAAAACAAGTCCGGCGAGACATGTTGGGTACAGCATGGAAACATTGCATGCAGTCCTCGCAGCTACATCGCAGCTCAGGCTCTCAACAAGCGAGGAGGGCTGGTCCGGGCAGATTCAGAGGGGCTCCAGCTGCAACACCCACGGAACCCAGGTACCCTGCCAGCCTAACGAAGAGTCCACCAACCCAAGGAACCTTGCTCTGCCCGTGCATGGTGTCAGATGAAGGGAGAACGGGACTTTGTCTCTAGCATGGTGCCTGATTATCACCTCTGACTCCAACACCTGCCGAGTACTTGTCTTGGTACTAGAGACTTTCATTTCACGTCCAGATCAACTGCACTTACTATTACTACATCAGCAGGTGTGACAATGCCATGTAATTATCAACTGCCCTTTAACTAATCAGGCACTGGAGACGGGCAGGCTTGGGGGGCAAAGTAATGTTTTGTTTTTGCTTTATTCTCTATTGTTTTGCCTAATTACATACATTCTCTGGTCTACGTCTGCCACCTCACGCTTAACATATATGCTCAAAGCATGCCTAACCATTCACGACTACCACTCATACATAAATTACGTCTGCAAATTTTGGTCTGCTCACAGAGTAATGTTAATAGAGAACGCAATGTTGAATGTTAGATGTAGTAGCACTGCATATAATATAAAAGTTTCAAAGCATGTTCCATATGCTTGTCTGATACCGGAGAAACTGACGGAAGCAAAGCACAGAGGGATGGACACAGGTTTCTTCAGGAAGGAAGAGATTCTTTATTGGATCACCGATCGGGACTCAGAGGGACTAATGTCACCAAAAATACAGCAAGTTCTGAGCCCTGAACAATAGTGCAGGCTCCCTATATAGGCACATAACTCCTCCCATATTAAGCTCCACCCGCACATTCTCTTAACCAATCATTACAAATAAGAATTAACTTCCTGCTTGACCGCATGGCTTGTCCAGCACAATGGAGGAGGGGAATACTACATCCTGTATTCTTGCACATGCTCCGTACACTACTGATCGTATCTTGCCTCGTGCAACCAACTGATCGATACGTCAGCATATGCACGTACACATGCCACGTGGTAATCTCGGCCTACTAAATTTATTTTTACCGAGATTCCACCACATTCCCCCCTTTGATGCCTCTTGATATTTTACAATTACTTGAGGCATCACTTAACCTTGGTTTGCATACACCACAAGTTACCTTTGAACCAGACCAGACTTATCCTATGATGTGAATCTTCAACACTCGTCTTCCTGCATTGGTTCTCCCTGATCTAGAGCCTTATATTTATAAATTGCCATTATCTGTGCAGCAGCCTTCCTCTCTGCTATATTTTCTATCAGGCTTTGCACAGACCTAACTACTAAGGGTATAAGACACGGCAGGAGTAGACACAACATTAAAATCAGTAGGACTCCACCTACCACTGCCTTAAGCCCTCCAAACCACTCATACCAGCTACCAAACCAACTACTTGGATTGTACCCTTTCCATACCTGAGTAGGCACATGCGCTAGTTTAACCATATGGCTAGTAAGCTCAGCTATTGCTTGCCCTTCGTCATCTATTTGAAGACAGCAATTGCTCAGGTTAAACTTCCCACATACACCTCCCTCTACTGCCAAAAGATAATCCAAGGCTAATCTATTTTGGTAAACTGCTGTCCTCATCCTGGTATTATGCTTCGCTAGAAGATTGAGCGCTTGTGATGTCTCGTTAGTAATGATCTCAACCACCGCCTGTAACCTTATAATGCGGTTGAGCATATAAATAGGGGTTCTATAACCAAAGGTACCATCCTCTGCCCACGTGGCTGGCCCATAATAATCTATAATACGCTGGGGAGGCCATTCATTATCTTCCCAGGCACCTATCTCTATGGGTCCCCTTTTCTTCCTATGATTCACATCATACACTTTAACACCTAAAGTCTCACCTGTTTCAATAGGCAACAAGAAGAAGGATGGTTTCAACATACCCAACACACATGCCCCTTCCCAGTCCTGTGGTAACTCCGAATAGGCCTTCTTACCACAGATCCAGTACAAATTCGCTGGGGCTCTCCAGTTAGATGTGATGGATAGATCAAACCATACGCCCTTTAAATTGGCATATCTTGCAAACGGGTTAGATGGTTCTGAGACATTTGAAGCCGACCACCAAGTTGTATTCTTTGTATCATCATCATAAGCTTTTGCCCTAGACAAGTTAATTCTCCTACAGAAGTATTATACATCATTCCTTTCCTCGCTATGCAAACATAACCTATGATGGAGGTCTTCAATCTCCACTCAGATTTACCTCTAACACTCATATGATAGTCGGCTTGTGTAGATATTAATTGGTCAACTGCCTCAGAACCGGACATTACCTCCTTTGCTTCCCAAGGCCATTGGTCTCCCATGTTAGTACCTCCACACACATAGCAGTTGGTAACATTAAGACTACCGGCAATACTCTCGGCTAAATCAATAAACAAGTTTTTAGCATTATGGGGGATCTTATTATCTATGCTCATCTCTTCATAAAAGGAATGGTATACTTGATGAGTTTGGGAGGTTACCGTATCAGTCTCTATCCCTATAAACAATATTGTCCCAGGGTCTAAACCCGTCCCATATATTTGAAACCCAAATAAATTACCATATTTATCTAAGAACTTGTCAGGGTTATTTATAAGTATATGGATTGGATTGCATTCCATAGACTTACAATATGGATTAGTAGGCAACTTAGTCACAATCATGTCCTTGTCTGCTGTCTGTCCCCAAGTCGCCCACCCCACACAAGACCAATATGGGCAGAAGTTATAATCTCTATTTGGGCATCTTGGACTTACATATTTATTTTTACTACTGGGACAAATATATTTATCGTTAGACCCATACGTCCTCTCCCATCTAAGATCCCCACATACATTCCACGGCTTTCTACCACTTGATATTGCTTTACACGCATCAAATAGCAGAGCACCTGAAGAATATACGGATTTTAATACCGTCTTATTAATTAGGGTCCCCTGAGAATCTCCATTTCTGAGAGTCAACCAAATTGTACGGGGTTGATACTCAGGACTGAAGCACTTAGGTTCTCCTACTCCTAAATGACACACACTATATTCTATATTTAAGTATCTACATCTTGATACATCTCCTTTACACTCATATTGCGAATGCCAAATTAGGGTCTGGGATATATGGTTACCTGTTCTTGTAGTCTTAATGCATACCTCACAGCTAGGAGTGTTGGTACCTCTACCTTCCTGAATATAAAAATACACATAAATAAACATTATTAAAAATACATCTTTCGTCGTCATCCTCAGTCTTCGTCCGTGCGAAGGCACCTCAGCTTCCAGGATGTAAGGGCTGCAGGGAATGGAGTTCTGCTCGTCTTCACAGGGGTCCCCTCAAGACTTTCCCTGACTTATACACTCGTTGGTGAGTGGACAGGCTTTATTATGGCCTTCTCACTCACTTACCAAGTCTCTGAAACAATAAAATTTGTAATCTACAAGGTTCCTCGTCACTCCGACTGAGTCGTGCGTTTTAACCGGATCTTGCAGGGATTCTCTGGATTTGCTGTAACTTGCCAGGAATCGGCTGCTGCTGGTTTAACCCTGGAGTGATGTATCCACGGAGCCACTTCGGCTACTTTTATCGCTGTAGGGGTAGACAGAAGAACAACATAAGGACCTCTCCACTTGGGCCCTAACGGCACATTATTCCACTCTTTAATCCACACTTGGTCGCCTGGGTGGTAACTATGAATTGGGGGATAAATATTCACAGGTAATCTATCTTGTACCCATTTCTGTACCTCCTCCATAGTCTTACCCAACTCTACAACCTGCTGCCGGGTAATTCCTTCTCCCAACTGACTCAAATCCCCCCTTAAGTTACCAAGCACGGGAGGTGGTCGCCCGTACATGATTTCAAAAGGAGAGAGGCCCATCCTTCTGGTAGGTGTACTACGGATTCGCAATAGAGCTATGGGCAAGAGAACGTTCCACTTAAGTTGGGTTTCCTGACACATTTTAGCCAACTGATTCTTAATAGTTCTATTCATTCTCTCTACCTTACCAGAACTCTGGGGTCTATATGCCGTATGAAGCCTCCACTTTATACCAAACATATGAGTCAATTGTTGTAGGCACTGATGAACAAAAGCTGGACCATTGTCCGATCCTATAGAGCAGGGTAGTCCATATCGGGGTATTATTTCTCGTAGCAGGAATCTCACGACTTCTCCTGCTTTCTCTGTACGAGTAGGACATGCTTCTACCCAGCCTGAATAGGTGCACACCACTACCAGCAGGTGGCGATGTCCACCCGATTTAGGCATCACTGTATAGTCAATTTGTAAATCGGACATGGGAAGTCCCCCCATAAACTGGACTCCTGGTGGCTTTACTGGTCCTTGTCTTGCATTATTTTTAGCACACGTTACACATCTACGTGCAATGGCCTGAGTCAAGTTGGACAATCTTGGTATGTAGAAATGTTTTCTGAGAGATTCTTCTGTACTGTCTCTCCCAGAATGTGTCCCGTTATGATAGTTTTGGACAATTTCTACCGCTAGTGATGCTGGAATAACTATTCTTCCATCTTCTAACTGATACCATTTGTTCTCCAAATGCTTTCCAGGTTCAGTCCTTAACCACTCCTCTTCTTGAGCTGTATAAATTGGAGTCCATTGAGACAGTGGAGTTGGTATAAGAGCAGCTATATGCCCCACCTATTCCTGTCTTCCTGATTCAGCAGCACGCTTAGCTGCACTATCTGCCATCCGATTCCCTTTGGTTACATCACCATCTCCTCTCAGATGCGCCCGACAATGTATAATACCGACTGCTTTCGGCTCCCACACTGCTTCCAATAGTTGTAGGATCTCAGCTGCGT